TATGGACTTCCTTCACCAAGATCAAACTGGCTAGAGCCACTGCTGAGGGCCTAAATTGCCAGTATGGCACTAGTCTCCAGGGAGAACTTCTTGAATTTCTTTCATCATGAAAGAAACAGTGGTCTGCCCTTACTAGCAAGGAATATTCTCATAAATATGGTTTTGTCCTACTTCTCTGCAATGCTTATGACAGAACTACTATCAGTGTACTTTTAGAGTACCTTATTCACAGTCACCCACACAATATTGCTTTTGCCCTAGGGATTGATTTCATAGCAGCCACAATAAGAACAAAAAACAAGTGAGCAAGAGATTCATTGCCTATGGAATTTAGTGATCTTACTGTGTACCCCATTCCCAGAAATAGCTGTCCTGATACAATGGTGGGAGGGCTAGCTAAAGACTTTTTAAAAAAAAATTTAACACCAAAGATTGTTTTTTTGGTTTTGTTTTTTGTTTTTTGTTTTTGGTACTGGGGATTGAACTCGGGTCCCTGTGCTTGTGCAACAGGCGGCAAAACCACTGAGCTAAATCCCTGGCCCCAACACCAAAGATTGATGTAGGTGGGTTATGGTTGTTATCTAAGATGTCTTCCCAAAAAGCTCATTGTATTGAAAGTTTAGTTGTCAACAATGGGCTTTTGAGAAGTGATTAGATCATAAGGTCTCTAACTTCATCAAGTGGATTAACCCATTGGTGAGATTATAATTTGATGGCATTATTGGGAAGTGAAAGAAACAGAAGATGAAGCCTAGTTGAAGGGAAGGATAATGGGGGTGTGGCGTTGGGATTATATCTGGTCTGTGGCTCCTTCCTCTCTAGCTCTGCTGGATTTTCCACTCTCTTTTTGCTTCCTGCCACCATGATGGGAGCAGGTTTTCTCTGCCATGTCCTTCCTCTATGTTGTTTCTGCCTTGGAGCCAGCTTATCATGGACTGAAACTTCTGAAACCATGAGCCAAAATAAATCTTTGCTCTTTTAAATTGTGTTTCTCAGGTACTTAGTCATAGTGATAAAAACTAACACAGTGGTTAACTTTATAATTAATTCTTCAGATTACAGACTATTCAGCTTGACTATGACTGTATAAGAAGGGTAATTATTATTGCTCAGAAATATTTGCCTAGACTTTTGCTCAGATATGGTTATAATGAGAGATGGGATGTTTTTCTTTTCTTTTTGGAGGGAGGATGAGTGTCTTTGTTTCCATCAAATAGCGGCATCTTGTTGGTGCAGATATAAAGTTGTTTTGGTGTGGATATTCAGATACGTGTGGAAGGGTGGGTGCAGAGAGGCCAAAGGGGTGGACTGTGTCAGTTGTTAAACTACTGACTCTTTATGAAAAAACCCACTTCCTACACCTGTTGTGTGATGGCTGGCAGTACTCAAAACTTAAAATTTCCTTTGTCAGCCTTTTGTTAGGATTTGCCAATAATGGCTATGAGAGAGAGGCAGGAAGAGTGGACAAGGACTCCAGTCCTGTTTGCTTCCTATTTCTCCCAGTGACAGAAGCAGATGGACCTACATTCCAGCAGCAGTTGTTGTTACCTGGTTCCCATTTCTTTTAATATTCCCAGAACCACAGTCATCATCTCCCTTCAGCACCAGCTGAGCAGTGCCTCCTTCTCAGAAGTCAAAGTCCCACTTCATTAGCTGCTTTTCTGAATTTCTAGGTTCTGACAGTCTAGGCCAGTGGTGGCAAACCTATAGCATGTGTGCTGCAGTGGGCTGTTTGTATCATTGAAAGCTCTAAAAGGTTCACCATCACTGATCTAGGCTCTTTCCTTTGTGCCTTCAGCCCCAGGAACTGAAGCTGTTTTGTTCAGTTATTACACATTTCTACAGGTAATAAAGTCTTTATACTATATACAAAACAATGTAATAGTATTTGAAGATAAGCACTGAGTAATTAAAGATGTATAGGGGCTGAGGGTGTAACTCAGAAGTAGAGCATGTGCTGAGCATGTGTTGAGCCCCAGGGTTCAATCTCTAGGATGGCTCAAGTGCTGAAACACGCATACACACATACATAATGTATACTGTAAACCTTAAAGCAACCATTACAATTTTTTTTTCACTTAATGCCACATCATTTTTACACTTGCCCATATTAATGGAATTTGGAAGTTTGGGGACTACATTTCCCAGCATTCCTTGCTGTAAAGATTACTAGTTGGATTCTATGGATGCAAAAAGTACAGTTGTTTCTGATTATCTTAAATAATTATGTCCTATAAAGTCTCTGTGAAGCAGAGTAATTCAGCAAATACCAAACTATTGTTCCTAGAGGAAAGATTAGTTTAGGATTATGTTCCTATGAGCCTCTGGTCACAACATTTTTTGTCAACCAATCAATATACCAAACTTATTTTATGTGTCTTTTTCTTTAGAAACACCTTAATATATATTGTTGATTTAATAACATTGAACTCAGACAACAGCATTAAATGTGTACCCAAATGAAGCTTTATCTAACACATCATGTGTATTTTCTTTCTTGTACTTGGGAGCACCAAGATAGCATTTCAGTATTATGCCTGAAGACCATTTTTAAAAAGTCACCATGGGCTGGGGATTTAGCTCAGTGGCAGCACTACACCTGTCTTGGAAGCACAAAGTCCTGAGTTCGATCCCTGGTACAAAAAAAAAAAGTCACCAAAGGGGAAATTCACCAAAGAGGAAACTCACCAAAGGGGAAAAATGAAGCACAAAAATGCAACCTCCCCCAAAGAAAAAAACAAAAACAGCACCAAATGAGAAAGGGCACCTGTTTATAGTGTGAGAGCTGAAACAAGAAGGCAGAGAATCATTTTTTTTAATCTCAGCTGGGAACTTGTAATTGAGCTGACTTCAAATTTTCATCATTCTGTGCATGCCCATCAATGACCATGGAAGTGCTGCAAGTATTCGAGTTTACAAATACATTTCTGAGTAGGCTAATTCACAAATATGGAATCAGAATCCATGAAGAACAAGGGTCAGTGGTATGTCAAGTTCATTATGTCCATTTCTAACATCTGCTTATTCTTTATCAGAGTAGAGGAAGATGGTAGAGAACTTCCACTTCACTTGGAATTGGCTACTGTTTTTGCTAGGCTTTTAAGAGTTGCCCTAATTACTGGGGTCCTTACTAGAGCGTTAAATCCCAGGTTTTGAGAAAGTGTCTCCAAGTCAATAACTTCTTGCTTATCCAGTCTTACATTCCAGCTTCCTTGATCAAGCACCCTGAAAATCCAATCCCAAGCATATTCTCTTGGCTTCTGCCAGTACTTACTGGCTAACTCTTGCCACTTAGGCATACATTTTCCCCCATGACCACCCCAGTGTATCACTAGCCAGTTTATTCTGGACTTTAACCCAATTTACCATCCATTCAGCAGTGGAGACAGCACAGGATGGGGTGGGAATCTGTTGCTCATGGGGAGGGGCTTCTGTAGCACCTTCCAGCACAGTGACAACTCCAGTTGTAGCATCTTTTGCAAACACTATGCTAACTTGTGCCTGCCAGAAGTCACACAAATGTTTGCTATAGGTAATGTTTCTTTAGCTCCTGTTAAGTGTTAGGCCCTCTTCCACATATCATCTCATTTCATCCTGTCAACAGCCTGTCTGAAGAGAGTGCTATTTTCATTGCATTCGTTTTTCAACAAAACGCATGTTTTGTTGAATGTGCCTTTCTGAGGCACAGAGAGGTTAAGTGAATTGCTCATGAGCACGCAGGTTGGTGCTGGCAGAACCAGGGCTTGGACTAAGGCAATCTATCTCTTCAGCTTTTGTACTCAGCTCCTACCCTGTACATTTCCGAATCCAGAGGCTCTGAGCAGAACCATTGTGCTGTGCAGTCTTTTATGCTAAGTAAAATAGTTAAGAATATTTTCATTTACTTTGCAGTACTGGGGATTGAACTCAGTGTCTCACGATGCTAGACCCTGAACCACTGAGGCACATCTCCAGCCCTTTTTGAATTTTATTTTGAGGCAGGGTCTTGTAGCCTCGAATTTGTGATCTTTCTACCTCAGCCTGTGACAACAGAATATTCTTTGGTGATTACTGTTTTCTTAATACAAAACAACAGGCATTTCCCTCAAAGTTCACTCTCCTTCAGATCTTACAAATGATTAAATTTCTACTAACTCAATTTTTCTTTTCTCATTCTATAAACTTTGGGAATCATAATAACCAAATCTTTCCATACTCTGATGTGAGTGCACGATGAATTTGAAAACTGTCATAACGCTGTTCTATTTGTCTACGTTTCCAAGAAGCATTCAGAGTGGGACATACATCCTGCCTCCTTTCTATGGGAGGGAGGCAGACCAGAGTTTTGCTGGTTTCAGACTTCAAGTCTTCACAGATGTGGCTTCCACAGTCCTTGTAACTTATTATCGCTGTGATTTTAAGCAAATCACTTCATCTCTGTGCTCACTTCACTGTGCCTGGCACAGGGTAATGGATCCAGGTGCAAGGAGACAGGACCCGAACTCATTCCCCAGACTTGCCCTGGAGTGGTCTTGGGCAAAAAGGATCCTTCACTTGGTTGGGCCTAACTGTGCCCAGCAATAAAATAAACAGTTGGGCCCGAGGATCCTGAGGAGTCTTCCTGTTCTGACGTTCTGTGCCTTGTACCTACCTCCGAATGGTAGAGAACGGGCAGTAAGGTGATGTCTCACTCACAAAACCATTTTTTGTTGAAATGGTAAATTCTAGGTAGAGATTTAAGAGGGAAATTGGATGAGGCCTGGAAGGACTGTGGGGAGTAAGAGGCACAGCTATTTCTAGGCAAGGGATGGGCGTAGCTGGGCGCTGAGCTCGGTGGGCAGGCAGCGGAGCATCCCCGCAGGTCGACCAGGCGTCCGCCGATGAGAACGAAGGCCGAGGCCGGCTAAGAACCGAGCTGCAGCGGCTGCGCACTGGTGCGACCAGCTGGCCGATTTGCGTGTCTCCGCCCCTGAGACGAGCTGGTTGGCGAAGGTCGGCCTGGTGCCGCCCGCCGATTGGCTGTGCCGCACGCCGCTCAAGTCTGGGAGCGGACGGTTCCTACTGCGGCTGGGCACCGGCTCGGCTCCGCGTCGGCCCGAGGTCTAGCTGCGCCCGGCCTGACACCGGCCCGGCTCCGCTCGGCCCCAGCCTCTGAGCGAAGGGGCCGCTGCCGCTGGGCTACTCCCAGGGCCATGAGGAGGCGGCGGCAGCCACCGGGGCCCGCTTCAAGGTGACCGGCCGGGACTGCGGCGGTGGCGGTGAGAGGACCGGCCAGCCAGTCAGCCAGCCGGCGGGGCGGGGCGGGGCGGGGCCCTGAGGGCCGGGCTGGAGGGAGCTGCAGGTGCGGGGGGCGGGACCCGAGGCCCGCTGGGGCCCGGAGGGAGGGGCCTCGGTGCGGGAGGCGGGGCCGGGGACCAGGGTTTTGTTGACGAGTTGCGGGCGCGGGGCCCTGAGGTGCCCGGGTCCCGGGGGCCGTGGAGAGCGGAGGGTGGGGGTGGTGGCAGGGAAAGGGCGCGGGTTGGAGCGGGGTTGGAGGAGGCAGTTGGGCAGGGCCGAGGGGCCGCAGGTGCGGGGGGCGGGGCCAGGAGCTACCGCAGGTTTGACAGTGGGAGGGGGCTGCGAGGTGAGGTCAAAGCGGACAGCGGGCCAGGACCCTGGGAAACCACAGGTGCAAGGGGCGGGGCAGGGAGACCTACAGGGCCGGGGGCGGGGCCCGAGTGTTTGCAGGTCCGGAAGCTGGGCCACAGGGGAATCGCGGGTGGAGGGTGAGTAGTTCCCCAAAAGGGGAGCCTCTCTCTCCGTTGACCAGGGGCTTCAGGTGGGAGCAGGAGCTTTGGGCTCCGCGGATTCTGGAGGCCTTCAGGGTTGCCACCAGAGGGGCAGTGCAGGCCTGCCAGTGTGCCTCGCAGAGTCGGACTTGGATCTCAGCTCCCCTGGTTACTAGGCCGGCAGCTTCCCGTGCCCTAAGTGGGGCGTATTTCTTTTTCACCCCTCAGGGGCCTTCGTGCTTTCGAAGGGGCATGCCTAGATTGGGTGGTGGTTGGCTTTCGTTGGATAATCGGCTCTTGGAAAACGTGTGTATTTGAAGAGTTGTTAGTGTGAAGCTTGGGAGTGTCCTGGATTGTTGTCTCTTGGTACCAGATGCTATTTGCAAGTCTGCACAGGGCTAGTCTCAAAAAGACTGAAATGGCAGCCTGGTGAGGGGGAAGAGCAGGAAGGAGAATTCAGAAGCTTTTGACTCTATATTACCTGGGAGCCGTTTGCCTTTTTGAGATTTGTTTCCTCCTTTGCAAAATGAGCATCCTGCTACCTGCATGTGTGCCTCTCAGGGGCCCTGTGAGGATAGAATGAACAGTACTTACTGAGAAAATCGTTGGTTAAAGTTATGTCTTTCTACTGTTGTGACGATGGGCAGGTTGGATTTGGGACCCTAAAGGAGTCTAAAGGACAGGGGATTACTTATCAAGAACTGAGGTCTGGCCACTTTCTTGATAGAGTTTAGGGTGAAGTTTGTGGTGGGCTGTCCCCAACAGACCAGTGATGGCTTGGATCCATGGTTGCTTCTCCCTCCCAGGTCTCCGAGGGAAGCCACAGCAACACAGGGAGCAGTGGGAGATAGAAAGTAGAGGAACATTTTATTGTTTGCTGACCTTTAGACCTCAATCTGACTTGTACCTGAGGCTTGCACTGGATCCCTGTGGAATTCTCCCTCCCCTATCCAAGCATGAACCCTCCATTTTGCCACATTCCATGAGGAAGATCCCCCCAAAAGAAGGATGTGCCAGACCTTTGTTAGGCTCCTGTGGGGCCAGAGAGAAGAGAGCGAGATGACAGCTCCCCTTAAATTTCAGAAAAGTGTTCTATATACATATGTGACCTTTCCATGCTCGGCGTCTCTTCTCCCTAGCAGTTGTCCTATCTGACCTGTAATGCCACTTTTCTGTGTTGTGTGGACAGAAGGTGGCAGAGGCTTTTCTGCTGGCCAGCACTGTTTTTCACTGTAGAAGCTACGGGACTTTTGGGGGCCGAACATCATGCTGCTGGCCTCCTGCGCTACACTGGTGTGGTGGTGGTGTCCCAGTGGCATTGTGGGGATGACATCTCAGGACTAGTCCTTATGGAGCCAGTGCTTGGATAGTAGGCTCCAAAGGGTCTAGAAGCAGCATGTTCATGAGTTGTCCCACTCTGTTCTGGCAGAAACCAAGTAAGTGGCTCTTTGAGACCATTGTTCTTAGGGTGACCATTATGCCTTGTAGGTTAAAAGGGAGCCCAACACTTGGTGGTAGTCAAGAACTAACATACTGGCTGGTGCGATGATTGGCTTTCCCCCATCCCAGTTCCTTACCTTCTCAGAGTTTTGATTTCCATATTTGTAAACTAAGGATAACCATGGCTGCCTTGTGAGGCTGTTGTGAAGAGTAAGTGAGATAAGATATCTGAAAGCACATGATCTACTTGGCAGTCACTGTTAGGGTTCTTTTAGGTTCCTGCCCCTGCCTGTCCAGAGTAGCATGTACTGTGTAAGCAGGGCAGGACTGGGAACCCTGAGGCCTGGGCATCTTATGTGACTTTGGACAAGTCTCTTCTCTCCAGACCTTAGTTTCTTAGCTAAGCAAGAAGAGTTTTAGATTATGTGATCCTTAGGCATCCTAACTCTGGCTTCTGATTAGTATGCTGTTATATTTTCCTCAAAAATAGGGTGTGGAAACTAATGACCTGTGGTTTAGTTCCTCTTTTAAAAATACCTGTTTAAATTGGACATGGTGGTGCATGCCTATAATCCCAGCACTCAGGAAGCTGAGGGAGTTGGATTGCAGCAAATTTGAGGCCAGCCTGTACTACATAGTGAGTTCAAAGCCAGGCTGAACTACATAGTGAGACCCTATCTCAAAAACCAAACCAAAGCAAAAAAACTTTTTTAGCACTTGCCTGGCACATAGAGGTGCTCATTAATGAAGGGTTTTCACTGGGAAGGTATGCTGCTTATATCTATATTGTATCTATTCCTCAACATGTATTTTATTTATTGCACCAAAATATTTTCACATTAGTCGAGTTAGTGAACCTTAACGTGAAAGACAGAAATTGTTTTACAGTACTGTACTCTTTCACCACACATTAAGTTCATCCAGTTTTTGTTCAGAAACAGACATAAATTTCCATGGTTTCAATCATGCATGTAAGCATTTGGAAAAGGCTCCTTTAAATAGTGTTTTTTTATTTTATTTTTTAAAAAGTAAGATCACACATGGATTTTTTTCTTTAGGCAAGTAGGGGAATCAGTTGTCAAGTGTCTTTCTTGTTCATAATCTTTTCCCCTAGAGGCAACTGTTATTACTAGTTTTTTGTTTATTATATATCCTTTCTCTTACATAAACAGTAGCATTCTTGGGATCTTGCGCTTGCGAGGCAGGCAGCGGAACCACTGAGCTAAATCCCTGGCCCAACAGTAGCATTCTATATATATTCTTTGCTCCTACACTTATTCGCCTAATCTGTTTTGAAAATTGTCCCAACAGTGTAAAGTTGGTACACACAGTTCCTCCTTAAAAAATGTTTCTGACTGACAGGGAAGCACACTTTGTATCTCTGCCCCCCCTCCCCCATGCTGTTTACTCTGTGCTGGTTAGCAGTCATTGTTCAGAAGACTAACAACAGACATCCTCCTTTCTTTTCTTCTGAGAGAAATGGCTTTGGTCCCAGTGAGCAGTAGGTTAAAGGCCAGTCCATGTGTCTGGATGTGAGGCGGAGACTGAAAGAGAAAGGAAAAGGATTTGTTCAGTGGTAATTGAAAACTGAATTTCCATTCAGCCTGTGATTCAGAGCCCAGATCTGTCATTTACTGGCTGTGTAACTTGGGGTGATTTATCTAATCTTTCTGTATCTCAGTTTCCTTATCTGTAAAATGGATGATAATGGGATCTGCATTTGTGGTTTCTGTCCAGAGGAGATGAGCTCATAGATGCAAAGAACATGCTGCAATGGCAGGTGGTGTAGGTGCTTGGGAAGGGTGCGCTGCTCTGGTACTACTAACCTACAGCAGTCTCTGTTTCTTGTCAGCAGGTACCTCTTGGGTGGGAAAGGGTGAGCCATGGAGAATGTCTCATTTCTGCCTTTGAGACGCTCACATGCTGTGTGTGGACAGACACACGAGGTACTGGTTACAGAGCAGTGTAGTGGGCCTGGTGATGAGAGGTGAGCGGTGTGTGAGGTCACAGAGGCACAGAACAATTACTTCTCCCTGGGTGATTTGAGCATGGCTTCTCAGCTCGAGTTCCCGTCCTTTGTAAAGCCTACTCAGTTTTTCCAGGGACAAGTGATTCCCCCTCCTACTTGACCTCCTTTGACTGTCGTGTGCACACTTTGTGTTAGTGCACGCATGCCTTTATGTGTGTGTCTCTCTGCACAAGGGAAATCTCCCCTGTTTTTGCTGCTGGGTCTCCAGGGCTCTGCACAAGGTGGCCTTCTGGCAGGCAGTGTGACAGCAGATGGACTTCTGCCCAGACGAGTCATGCTACCAAACACTGCACACTCTTATGAAATTGTAAGTAGGGCTCTGGTGAAACCTGTCTCTGAACTCTATTCCTTCACTTCCCAAATATTTGAGTGTTGACTCTTAGTAGGAATGTGCTAAGCCACAGATTGGCTGTAGGCTTTTGGTGTGACTGGCAACACTTGTCCTGCAGGGTCTTTGGAATGGAAGAGGAAAGAAATATTCCCTCTAGATGCTTCAGGTCAGGATGGAGATGGAGAGAAAGGACAAGTGTAAAGATAAGCAGAAGCTGTGCATGCTTGCTGAGGTGCCCCCACACCCGCTTTGGGCTGGGACAGTGAGGAACAGGCCCTGGGAGCCGAGTAGGTGGTCTGTACGTTGTGGCCATGGATAGAGGAGAGTTGGTTGGGTTGGCTTCTGTGGGGCTGTTGCTCACAGAATGTGCTCCCTTGACTGTCATTGTGTGAGCCCCTTGATCACAGAGAAGGAGCTCCACTTCAGGTGGGCATTCATTCAGCAGCACTGCTGGACTCCTGCATGGGCTACACTGTGTACTGGATGCTGGGCACATGGAGTGAAGGCACTCCGTTCCTGCCCTTGGGAGGAGTTACACCCACATGGGAGGTGACCAAAGTGGCTGGCTGTAAGAGACAACCTCAGATAAAGTGGCCAAGCAGATTGAGGCCCTGGAGCAGGCAGCTCTGGTTTCAAATTCTAATCTGTCACACATGTGTCTGATAATGGGTTTCCCTGCTTTGTAAAATG